GNATTGACACTAAAGGAATATTTGGTGGCAATGACAAGCTCATTTCTGTCAATGTTGTGTTTCTTGATGAGTTGACCAATGAGTTTTTCACTTTCACCATCTTGATACAAATTGGCAGTATCGATAAAGTTACCACCAGCTTGAAGGTATCTTAAAAAGATTTTCTCATTTTCTTCATCAGTTGATCCAACACCCTATTCGAATAAACTTTCTAATAAAACAAATTCAATGAAATATTAACATACCATTGAAGTGGAGAAGACGGCATTGTGGCCAAAGTGACCAGTACCCAAAGCAATTGGAGAAACTCTCAATCCGCTTGATCCCAACAACTTGTAGCTTGGAATAGTTTTGAGTTGACTTGTAGTTTGATTATCAGACATTTTATTTTTGTTGGAAACTCATATTGACCTCTACTCTCACTATTTAAAGAGTAGCTTGGATTTCATACTCACTCACATGAAGGCGGACAGATTACTTTGTGCTTCCTTAGATTTTGTAAACTTTCGTGAGGAATAATTTTGGTTGACTTCAACCAAGCGCTCGAAGAGTGATCTTTCAATTTTAATGGAAACCACTCCATGATGTTTGAATTCAAGAAAATGTTGGATGATAATTTCAAATACGAAATTCCAGCAAGCACAAACTTTCCATGTTGAAGATTATTTTTGGATTTCGAATAATTTGTGCATCCTTTGTAAATTAACCTTCAAACAGCATTAAGAGAAAGTAAAAATAAACAATCCTGTTTTTAATTTCCGGGTTAACATGTTAACCTATAAAAGCGGCTCGAAATTACTGAATTTTAAGAAATGGAACGGTAGCCTAACGGTAATGTTTCGTATCATTTAAACACTGGTCTGAAGATCGAATCTTGTCGGCATCAATAAACAAAATGCCATCTCAAAACAATGCAAAGTGCAGAACATTTGTTTGCGTTTGTGGAAGCAAGTGTAATTCAAGTCCAGCCAAGAGTAGACATATTAAAAAGTGCAATCATTTTGCCAAAGCAAGAGAGTTTATTAATACTTCATATCCAGAGCTCTCTTTAAATAAATTAATACAACCAAACATTATTGAACCAATCATTAATGTTGTTAACAATGATCCTCTAGAAGCATCCTATATCAAGATGGGAAGGGCTGTTGTTAAGTTAATCCAAGAACTTCCAATTACATCACCTCTTAGAAGACCAATGGTTGCCAAGATTTGTAAAACTGTAAGACCTAAAGATGCTGTTATCATCTTGAATTTCGATGAATCTACCATTAGAAAGGCCAAGAAAGAAAGTGATGATTTTGTATTGATGATGAAATCTAAACCAAATAGCACTAGAGAGAAAATCTCAGCCACTGATATTGATAGAATCCAGAAGTATTGGTATGATTCATGTCGTGTTTCATCTACTGATGTTTTGCAAGCAAAGAGGAAGAGTGCAACATCTGAGGCTGTTATTGTTTCAAAATATTGGCAAGACTCACCTACTTGTTGGATTTTCCAACAATATGTGGACTTCAGTGAACACAACCAAATTCCCTATCACTCCATTGGTACATTTGTCAAATACAAACCAAATAATATTAGACCATCCAAGAAGTTAGAAGGTATTTGCCCAATCTGTAAAGATTTCAAGAACAACAAGGCCAAGTATGAAGAAGCTGACCAATTATTGAAACATTTCAAGCAGGAGCCAGAGTGTGATTGTAATCATTGTCAGCATTATAGTGAAAACTCTCAAGTTGAATTAATAGCACTTCAAAGAAAGTATGAGAAACATCTACTTCACGCTCAGCTCATCGTAGATAAATCCAAATATTGGGAGAAGGCAAAGCAAGAATTAAAAGAAGACGAGTTGATCGTTGTGATGGATTTTGCAAGTGGTTGGGAGGTAATCGATAAAGCTGTAGAAACAACCAACGAGTTTTTTGAGAAACATTACATCAAAGACATGATTGTTGTTGTGGTTAGAAAGTTAGGTGGAGAATTTCATTACACTTACTTTGATTTGATCAATGACAACCATACTTCTGATCATCACTACGTCAGAGAAGCTTGGGATTACTTATTATCGTCCGAAGAAATATTCACCAACAAATCTAAAATATTTCTTTTCTCCGATGGTGGGCCTGCTCATTACAAGATGTGTAAGACTGTTGTTATGATTGGAGAGATGACAAGAAAATATGATATTAATATTGAGTACAACTTCTATCCATCACACCATGGCAAGGGTCTTTGTGATGCACACATAGGAGTAGGTAAAAAGTATATCAAGAACAAAGTAAAGAGTAGAGAAGTAGAGGTGGAATCAATTGATGACATTGAGATGTTACTCAAGCAGTTGAAAGGAACCAAGGTTATTCGTTTGGACAATATTAAAACCTTTGAAGATTATAATGTAGAAAACATTGACAAGGTTAGATCATTTCACCAATATACTTACGAATTCGATTCAGAGAACAATATGTCATTATTATGTAAGATATCTTATGAAGAAGAATCGTCTGTCATCAAGAATGTTAATTTAATAACTAATTCTGGAGGAAAGCTCACACCCAATCACTGTCTATTTTGCAACAAAACAGGACACAATCATAGATTGTGCAAATTATTAGACGAACAATATAAGAAAGAAGATTTCGATCCTTCAGATCATCAATTCTTATCTCGTGAAGACGAGTACCTACCAGATGGGGAGGAGAGTGAAAGCGATGAATTATTGTATGATTCAGATAGTGATTATGATAGTATTAGTGAATCAGAGAGTGAGTTAGATAATGTTAGTACATCAAGCAACGAACAACTTACGGTTGGAAAGAGAGCAGGAAGAGGCAATAAATTAAATGCCATCATTAGCAGTTTGATGTAAACGTATTTTTTTTTAAAATTTTATTCATTACAAAATTTTCAACAAATTTCCGTTCCAATTCTGGTGTTTTAAGGTGTGAAGAGCTTTTTCAAACACAGCCTCATTTTCTATTAAATAAAGTGAAAAACAGGATTGTTTATTTTTACTTTCTCTAAATTAAATTCCATCAAACAACATTAAATATTTGGAGAATTTTGATTCAACCAATGTTGAACATGAAGTAATTTATTATATTATTAAGAAATTAAATTATTAATATTGTAAATTAAGAAATAAAATTATTAAATATTAAAAAAATGTCTCGATTACAGGAAGCATCTTTACATAAAACGCTCGGATCACAGATTATGCAACTCTTGGAAGGAAAAACAACAAATTCATCTTCCTATTCCTTTCAAACTCATCAAGTTAATTATGTATATGGATTGGATAAGATTAAATCAATGGTTCCGAATGTAATTATAAACAAAAAGTATGACAATCAACAACAGATGAATGGAATGAGCAAATTACAAATTGAAAAGGAAGAAGTTTTTGCCAAGCCGGAAGTGATGAACATTCTCGATGATATTTTCAATGTAAAACTTCAAGGAAAATACAATAATAATATAACAGAATATGTTGCCCAGGAGGAGAAACATTCGTTGGGAGAAAAGAAACAAGTTGATGTGGAAGTAAAGCTGTTCGATGATGAGGATGAGGAACTAGTTGATAAACCTGCAATTTATGATGAAAATCAAAAGGAAGTGAAAATTAAATTATTTGATGATATTGATGATGACGATGATGTTCCATTCAAGGATCAACTAAAGGAGAGACAAGTGCAAAAGGAAAAGTCAGGACACAAGAGAAAGAGAAAGGAAAAGAAATTTTCCTTCTTGGAAGATTCTGATGATGAGGATGAGGAACATGATAAATCCATTGCATTGAATGATGAGGATGAGGAAAGTGATGAGGATGAAGATTTACTCAAGAATAAGGCTGCAGAGACTCACAACTTTATCAGCTCTACAAAGGTCAAGAAATCTGAAAAACCAAACAAGGTAGCCAAGAGACATAAGGAACAAAATGAGTGGAAACAAATTCAAACATTAATGAAGGAAAAGGATGAAAAAAAGAAAGATTCTTCTAAGGATTCAACAG